TATTTTGACATAGGCACATAATGTGAGCTCTCTCCATTGTTCATGTCAGGCTAGAGTAAATTTCTTATCGTAGCCATGATTTATTGCAATTTTTTTTTTTTGTGTTAGAGTTCATTCATTGTGTTTTTAATGCCTGAACAGTGTGTATAAACCTGTTTTACAAATGCTCTGAAAGCAGCAGTCTTATACATAACCAGATTGTTGGATATAGCATGAATGTAGAATGGTTGATTTGTTGGCTTTTAGTATACAATAAAACATATTACATAAAACTGGATTAAGTCCAATACACATTTACCAGAAATATCAAGCACAAATTATACTTACTAAAAATAAACAAACATTTGATTTTCAAATCATCATCCTTAGGTTAAAGTTAGTCGAATATCAATGTGAAAATTCGAACTTCACTTTTAAAACACATGAAGCAATCATTTCATTGGTTGGAAAATGCTGATGTCAAATGATGATTATTTTTTAAGTAATAAGATTTAATTTATAGTTTTACTTCAGAAATAGATCTCTATGCTTTCAAGAATGTATCTGCCTCTGTAATTTATGGTCATATTCCAAAAACTAGCTTTGTATATTTCAAGAATATCTAGATGTTTTACATACATCCTAGCAGGAACTGGACGCATAAGAGTACTCAATGAAACAAGATTAATATTGTTTTCTAATGCAAATGTTGCTAACATTGTGGTGAAAAAGCCCTTTTGGAAGAAATAATGGCACTTCTTGATACACTTGTAAAGATATCAAGCTATTGCTCCTATGTACAACCATTTCTTGTATCTGTTGTCTATAATAGGGATAGAATACACCCCAGATGAAGTGTGTTGGTAAAATCCTTAGCATTCCATAATAAAGAAAATAGAGTTAGGTTTCTCATATAGGAGATACTAAGTAGGTTTGTTCTTGCAATTTGTTGGTATACCTTAGAAAGATGTTGGTTGAATCTGACAAGTTTGTTAATTTTAGATTTGTCCTTCTTAGACATGTTCCCAGATTGATATTTACGTATGAGATTTTGAAAGAGGCTGGAAGGATACACATGTTTCACTTGCAATGTAGTTTAGTTCAATCTCTCTGAATGATGTTGGTGCTGACACAAATGCTCTTTTGATTAGTGCTCTGTAAGTTGATGTTTTAAATGTATATGGGTGTCTAGAATCTGTTGGAATGAAGCCAAACAAGTTTATGACTGGTTTAGTTGATTCCAGGGCTGTGGAGTCGGAGTCGTGGAGTTTTGATGTTTTAGCCGGAGTTGGATGGTAAGGAAAAGTCGGAGGAGTCGGTAAATTTTTATGCAACTCCACAACCCTGGTTGATTCAAAGATGGCCAGGAGTCAATTGAAAACTATCCAACAGTAACATTGATAAAGAATTGTGACAAATATTAGGTAAGGATCCAAATGTGACCTGTAGAATGTTGTCAGAAGTTGAGAGTGTCTAAGGACTGTTCACATAATTTTATGTAATCATTTGAACAAATGTAAGATCTGTTCCACTTTGTTCTGCACTCACTGAGGAACAAACGGGCATGCTCAGGACATCAAAACAGTCACTGTAATCCAATTTTCTCAAAAATATTGTCACAGGTGATCAACAGGTCATAATTGATGAAACACCAAAGTTGTGTGAAGTCATCAGATGAGCCTACACAGAAAACTTCACTTCCAAAAATTGCACGTCAAGATTGCTTGTCTGTTTTTATGATTCCAAAAGGTATCATGCACAAAGAATTTGTCCCAAATGGTCAGAATGTTACTGGAAATTATTATTTGGGTATTTTGGAATGTCTTTGAAACTAAATTTTACACATACAGCTGTAGTATCATGCTTAAGGAATCTGGACACTGCTGCAGGATAATGGACCCTCGCAAAAAGAGCACCACCATTCACCAATTTTTGGCTCAAAAAGTCTTCTAACCCACCATATTCTCCCAATCTGGCTCCCTGTGACTATTCTGTTCCCAAAACTTAAAATTTCAATGAAAGGGACTCATTGCAAGGACACTCCCAAGATTGAGGCTATTGTGACTAGTACTGAACCAGATACCAAAATAGGGAGCTTATGCCTTAAAATGCTAATTACTTGTTCTGAACATTGTATTCCTGCATTGTATTTTATTCAAAATAAACATATTTATAAAAACATTTTTTGTAAGTTTTTATTTTTCCTAGAGCAAAAGTTCAGTTTCTTTTTAGACAAGCTGTATATGTTCAAAAGGAATAGTGTTAAGGAGGAAGTCTCTAAAGATAAAAAAAAGCTTCAGCTTAATTGATAAGATTCTGTACAGACTTAGAATCTAGTACAGTAATACAACGACTTACGCAAACCCGGAGTTACGTGATTTTCAAATCTCGTCGATTCGTCTTTTGTTTGAGCGCCACGCAACCCTTGATTACTCACTCCCCCCCACACTATTGTTCAGCTTACATGTTCGGATGTGTCGCGCGGAATCCACACATAGTTACAATTTATTTTGTGTTATTTATTTCTGTGTTTGTTATATCTATGGAGACTTGAGAGACTCTACTATGTCATCCAAACAAAGTAGAACTAATTCTTCTGCATCAAACAAGAAAAACTATCTTTGGAATGTAAAATTAACATTGGGTATGTTCGTAAAGTCGAACGAGTTAAACGAGAATGACGTCATCGTTATTCCTATTTCATTAGACTTTGTGAACAATTCGTTACTAACGCGTTTAACTCGTTATTATTAAAGACTTCGATACAAAAATGAAAATTTGTGAATTGGCAAAGAAGTTTGATCTACCGGAATTGTCGGTCAGAACAATTATAAAAGGCAAAGAAAAAATTCTCGAAGCTGTGAAAAATGCTCAATCTTTAAATTCAAGCATCATTCGTAAACGTCACAGTATTATTGCTGAGATGGAAACGTTAAAATTATGGCGCAATAATCAAGTAAATGTGAAAAATTGTAAAATAATATTGGCCTAATTTGTTATACATATGTATTATCTAAGATTTTATTAAACATTTGTTTCTAATTTATTGTTTTCTTTAGTCTCCGGCCCCAATTAAAAATTATTTGTATGTATTTATATGCGAAATTATATCCCGACTTACGCAAATTCAACTTACGCAGTTACCGCTCGGTCCCATCTATCGTGTAAGTTCGGGGTATTACTGTACCATGAAATGACCATTCAACAGGGTAATTTTTTTAATTGTCCACTAGTTCCTGTGGATCCTTCATTGTGTATTTGTAGCCACCTAACTATTCTGCTATCTGTGTAACTATTTTTCAGTTGCTATTGTTGGTGACATAGCTTTATCTACAATTGGTCTTAGATATCTGGTATATGGATCTTTGTAAAGACAAAGGCATGTCCGAGTAATGTATAATTACCTAATTTAAATGCAAGCCTTGGTGAGTGATGTTTTGGTTAATTTCTTAACTTTGTGCTGCAGTGCTTTCATATCCATCATTATGTGCTCACATTCCATGGACATGATATAGCATTCCAGTATTTTAATGTACAACCTTTTCATTAAAACTACCACTCAACTTTTGTCAGCTTTTAATAACTGAACTTGATTGTTCAGTCCCATTTTCCTGTACTGTCATCGATATATTCTCAAACTGCTAGGTCCTTGATGTCTGCAGGGATATGAAGTCAGCAGAAAAATACACAACTCCTGACTCAGTATTTTTTAAAAATAAGACTACCATAAAAAGATCAGATTCCCAATTCTCTATCCATGGTTGACTACTCTGTTGTCTCTTAAGACGAAGACTGTAGCAACAAGAGACTTCCTCATAGGTGTGCTTAACCCCCAATAACTTTTCAATATTTGGTACAATATTGTATGGGTTTAATAATGTTGGTTTATGTGCAAATATTAGACCAAATATAAGGGCTTGTTCTAATACTTTTGACAGAATGACAACTAACTTACAGGTCCCACCATGGGGACGTCAGTGTTCCAGGTATATTTGACTGTTAAATTTAAAATATCATACATAGCAAAGTTATATCACAAACCTAGACTCAGTTCCACCTACAAATTAATTACAAAATTCTGAGATTCCCAGGAATCATATCACTACAGTAAAACAGCATTTTGATTTATAAGCTAATGCTAAGGATAAAATTGATACAAGTAGGGCCCCAAGCATATGTTCTATCCTAATTGAAGACAATACTTTCAAGTGGCAATGAAATCCTTGGGTTGGCAATGAGATCCTTATCCCAAAGAGTTCAAGATCAATAAAGCTACAAGGAAGTCACTAACCTCATTTGTACGACATCCCTGCAAGCCCAGGGTGTCAGTAGTTTGTTAAGACAGTGCTGTTAAAATATATCCGAGGAACATATAAAGACTATCATTATCCCCAGCATAAATGTTATCTGACAATTTCCTAAAACCATTTAGCAAAATACACAATAAGTGCACACATCGTCATACAGTACAACCGGTCACATATTTCTATCACGAAACCTCATTGGGAATGCGTCCCTTCAAACAACATTCTGCCTAAAAGAATTCTTAAGCGTTCCAGAACTAGAAGTTCTTTGACTATTCAAATTTTCAACAGTAAACCTGAGTAAGACTTCTCAAAGACAAACATCAGAGCAAGATCGAAATTATCTGCCGAAAAGAGCAAGCAAGGCTATAATTTTATCACATTACAGAATACATCTTTTTTGAATTATTATACCTTAAAACAACCGTCTGCATGCATCTTTGCAGAAAGAGTCCCTATTCACATCCAAGGACATAAGTCGACACATTTCTAACCAGATTAAAGGACGTTTAAAAATGATTAACTTCCATTCATTCCATCCAATCCCATCCAAAAAATTTAACAATTTTTTCTAGTTAATAATTTCAAAACATTAAAGTTTATATTTTTTCATTTTCATTTAAAAATTAGTCTTCACATTATATATATATATATATATAAATANATTTTACTTTAATCAATTTTGAACTTAAAATATTTAATGGTAAAAAACAATACCTTTCTAAAGAAAAAATAGGGATTGATATCAAGATAGGAATTCTAAAATTCACCCTTCCATTACAAAAGACATTGAAAAATGAAAATAAAAGGGCAAGTAAAGGATTTTCCCTCCAAATACATAGGATATATATGGCAACTAAGGACAACCAGATATGATCCTTGGTTCAAATATATCATGGCCACGCGAGTATTATGTAGGCGGTTTTTTCCAAGTTCTGATAGTCTATTAAAAAAAAAAAAAAACAAGTGTAAATAACAAAATGAATTTATTACCAAAAGTTAGGTACAAACATGATTACTTTTCAACATAATCATGTGAAGATTGAGGCATTTATCATATCTGTGGACGAGCTTTTCCATCCCCTTGTCGTAGAATGTTTCTGCCAATAACTCGAGACGAGCCATAACGTAGCCACTTTTCCCATTCAGGAAAGAGGTGGAAGTCGCTCGACGCTAAATCGGGGCTATACGCTGGGTGTTTAAAGGTGGCAAAGACTTCCACCCAGCTTAAAACTTTTTAACGTACGAAGACTTCCACCTCTTTCCCGAACCGAAAACACAGCTAGGAGGGCATAGGTTCGAGACTAATGACAATCTTAAAAAAAACGTTTAGGCTCATCTCGAGTTACCGGGCGGCAACATTCTACGACATGAGGGCGGAAAAGCTCGTCCGCAGATACGACAAATTCCTCAATCTTCACGGCGATTAATGTCGAAAAGTAACCACGTCTGTACCTAAGTTTTGGTAATAAATTCATTTCGTTACTCACCTCGTAGATTGTCTTGAAACATTGTAGTTTAATTTAAGAATTTAAATTTCGTTGGATCATTGGAGAGAGGTTTAAGAATCTAGTTTCGTTTTCGAATTGTTTGACAGATGATAAAATAATAATTAATACCGAAATTTGTTACGAATTTAACATTAAAAATTATTATTAATTTAATGTTAAATTCGATGAAAAACAATTAGAAAATTGATTAGAAATTAATTTATTCACAAAGAACAATTCGAATTTATGCGCATTTACATTGGCGGGAAAATCCTTCATTTTGTAAAAAATTCTTTTTGAATTTAATAAAAATATTCTTTTTCTCATTTCAATTATAAAAAATCTTTATTATTTTCTTTATTACACACGCAAAATTTACATAGAAATATTACTTTATATAAATTCTTCGTTTATTTTATATAAATACGCTATTTATATCACTCGTTAAAGCTTTATAGAATTAATTATTAATAATATCGTTTGTAATTAATAAAATATTTAAAAAGAAAGAAAATTTTAAAGCCTTACCTAGTCAGACGAAATGAAATTCGAATACAGCACTCCAATCACTTATTACTTTACAGGTAAGTGTTGCCAGATCTTTTATACTAAAACCAGACGATAAGTTTCAGTTTTGGTTTCAAATTTGATAAATTTAAAACTGATAAATTTATTTATTATTATTTTTTTAATCTTATTTTTTTATTATATAAAATAATATAATGTGTATATATATGTATATGTAAATTAAAATTAAACTTTTTTAATTAAGTTGTTAAAAATTTTATACTGTATTTGTATAATGTAATAAATTTCATAGCGAAAATATTTTATAATTAATTGTTAATTATTTTAATGAATTTTTTTTTTATATATTAAAATTTTCTTTTTAATAGAGAAAAGAAAGGCGGTATCGACACTAAGAGGGAACAAAATTTTGAATCTCTGTAATGGAAGCGCGACACGTTTCTATATCGCCATTTTTGGCAGTAAACAAAGAATGTTCATTAGAAAAATTCCGGAGAAATTTCAATCGGTTTTAAAACTAAAATTGATTGGGATATTGAGATAAATTTAACTATAAAAACTGTTTTTCATTATATTAATTTCTAAATCCGAACATAATTTGCATGTCACAATCATAGTCATCGACATCATTATTACTATTTCAAATTATGTAGCCTAATGCTTAAATTTTATTAAGAATTAAAGGATTAATAAGTAATTAGAAGAAGGATCTCTAACTAAATTATTTTTTGTTTGTTTTTCCTTATAATTGCCGCAAATGATTAATTAAAGGTTAGGAGTAAGCAACGCTTTTGATAAGAAATAGGATATTTCGGGATGGAATTAAATATATTTGTAAGAGACCAGGACTGGATGGGAAATTTTATTCAACAACAAATTTATTTATTACTTTTTTTCAAAAGAATAACGCCTAAATTTTATATACCTTTTCCAATGCTTCATAAAGATTGAAGGATGTGATTATATCTTTCTCCGGATTCACTTCCTTTCAAAGGTGACACATCTTCCGAATGTGTCACCAGGAACCAAACGACCAAAATTTGTCTATTGAACGTAAAACATTATTGGGCATGATAAAAAAAAAAAAGAAGGACTCCGGAATAAAAGCGAAAAATCGATGACAGTAACGTAGTTCGTCGCTCATCCTTTCGCTCCCGGATACATTTCCTATCCTGCCGATTACCGCCTAGATCGACCGCTTCGGCTCAACCTGAACTTATATCCTACCTACCTATCAAGTGATCCGCACCGATCTTCTGAACGTTCAAGATACTTGAAGTTCTAACCTCCGAACTACCTATTCGCCGGGTATCCTCGACGTCGACCTCTCTCCAACAAGCAAGAAACCGACCTCCTCGGCTACCTAAATACTCGAAGTATTATATCAGCACGCGACTAAGGGACAGTAGTGTCACTCCTGACGTGGCATCTTGACGTGGTGCCGACCCTGCCGTCACACTCCGTCCGTTCGGGGAGGGGTGGGAAATTTTGAATCGAAGTAACGTTATTTCCGCTTTAAAACGGAAATTTGTATACAGTTAATCTGGGCCTTCTGCCCCTAAACTTTTCGCATCTGGTCTCGACTTTCATCCATTCATCTTCTATCTATTATCACATAAAAGCAATTATTCTAACATTAATAAATAATATAAAATCCCTTTTCTGAATCTCCCGCAGTTTTATCATTGCTAATGATGGTATTTTAATGATCTATAAGCTTACATATCTAACAATATAAAATATTTATTTATATTTCAAGTAGATTTATTTGTACAAAATCATTAATTTAATTTATATATTTAATTCTTATTAATTAAAACTTTCAATTTGATGTTAATTTAATGGCATTTCAATCAAATTTTTCAATTAAAATATCATTGTTACCAACAATATTTTATTGAGATTCCATTTATGTAATTTATGAATATAAAATTACTGTAGACCCCTATAATACTGTTGATAATTCCATTTTATGTGAATTCCATGTTGTACGAGTCCCTTAATTTACAAATACGTGAGCCGTTCACAGCCCGATACACGTATTTGTAAAATCTAAGGGACTCAACATGGAATTCACATAAAACGGAATTATCAACAGTGTTATATGGGGTCTACTGTAAATATATGTTTAAAATATTATACCTAATATTAAGAATTTTAATACCATCGCTCAATTTTTATAGTGGATTTCTATCAAATTTAATAGAATGGAAGAAACTTTCGTTTGTTCATTAAAAGCTTTACTTACCTATTGTAAAACCTTAATGGGATTTGAAATGGTAAGCTTTTCCCTGAATAAAGCTACGGCCTAATTGACAACAAATGAGCAAGATAAGAAATCGGTTTTATTAAAACAAATCGGTAAGAAATCGGTTTTATTAAAACAAAACTTGGAAAAGTTCTCAGAAGAGTGCCATTTTCTCTAACAATTTTAACACAGAAACTAATTAAACCATTAAACGACTCTGGAGCTAATGATTCGTAAAGAAATTTTCAAAGTTTCGGAAGACAGAACGAGGGTGAGAAAAACAAATCCGGATTTAGGGTGCGACTATGCAGACATGAGCGAGCGAATTTTCTGAGCAAGCGAGAATACGGGGCGAGAAGAGGCGAGACGCGTAAATATCAAAACCTGTCAGATATGTGCGAGAACCAGAAATTCGCTCTCGCCAGCGTTATTTCTCGCTTCTCGTTTGTGCATGGTTTTCCTTTGCGAAAACTAAATCGTTCGCAACCTCTCGCTCGCTCTAACTTCGCGTCTGCATGCACCCAAACCCTTGTACCAGTGGCGTGCCGTCACTGGAAGCGGTGGAAGCGCCGCTTCCCTTGTATTTTCTAAAAAATACATATTGCGCGATTATTTTCATATATTAACGTATTTTGGATTAATTAAAATTAATATTTTATCATAACTGCATTATGTATTTTTTTCAAATTTCTACACTACACTTGAAAAAAACGATTAAGATCGCTATTGTATATTCGAATATCAGTGGCGGAATGGAAGAGTTGTATTGTCCAATACGGGTCAGTTTCCAAACAGCCAGATTTTACGCATTCGCGCGTGCACTTTACAGCACCAACCTCACCCAGTTTAGATGATGGAAGCTACACATATATAAGGGTGCGACTATGCAGACGCGAATTTAGAGCGAGCGAGAGGTTGCGAGCGATTTAGTTTTCGCAAAGGAAAACCCATGCACAAACGAGAAGCGAGAAATAACGCTAGCGAGAGCGAATTTCTGGTTCTTGCACATATCTGACAGGTTTTGTAATTTATCGCGCCTCGCCTCTTCTCGCCACATATTTTCGCTCTCTCCCGTCCGCATAGCCGCACCCTTACGCTTCCAATGATTATATCCCGGACCGGTTCAAGGCCGTTAACTGCCTACCTGCTAGATATTTGGCCGCCCTCGCCCCATTATGTTAATCTCGAGTAGATTTATAACTTAATCCAACCGATAGAAATTTACTGACATGTTTTTACGATAGTTCTGTATAGTTGACAGGAGTTTTAAAAAATTCATTAGGATATTTGATATTTTTATTCCGCTCTCCCATCTTATATTACTTACGGATTTCAATGTTAAGCCAGTGATATTACGATTCTGTACGTCCAATCTATAAGGGAATGTAGAAAAAGGGGATTCTTGTACATTGTTTAAAAAATTAACTGTTACTTTGGTAGCATCATTTACAACTAAATTTAATGAATGGGAGGTACAGAAAAAGCTCTAGAATTTATTTTCCTTAAATTTACGATTTATGTATCCGTTTGTCGTAAAAATTTGAGATATATTGATACTAGTGATGAGACAAAAGAGGTATTTGACATTGACCGGTGTGGGCACCCTGGGGATTTGGCATTCCGCGTGTATTCACGCACTGCAACCGTGTCTGATTCCATCCATTAGCCACTGGTAGGGAGCTATTTAACTAAGTGGATTATTTTTAAGATTTAAAAAGTAAAGAAGATTTCATGTTATTTTTATGTACGTTTCTTTACAAAGCTCTATTTAATTATAATTTTCTTTAAAAGTATATTCGTACAATTGAAGAATATTTTGTACCAGTTATGTACTGTACATCCACCACACATTTTATTTTAACAAGTTTTTATTATTTTATTTTTAATTATAGCCCTTATATCGTGGCAAGCGATTCGGAATGTAATTGTGATATTAAAAATCTGTCACTGACGCGCAATTAACTGATTGCCCCTAGAAATCGGCTTCTTACAGAAACACAGCTTTCCTATCATCAAATATCACGGCACGCCACTGAGTATTATAATTTCTTGATAGAATTATCTTCAGTTATCATAATTTATCTTTAACCTTTAGATCAAATGGTTGTATATGCGATCAAATCTGGTATGTATGATCACCGGATGTAAATGCCAATATACCACCCATGTAGTCGTTAGTATCTTCTACACTCTACTAGGACATCTCAAATTACACAACAAAGGGATGAAGGAAAATATATGATGTTATTTGACACGTGTTCACTCGCAAAAACATACATTAATTTATCCAGACAGATGTGTTCTCTAAATATAAATATTTAAACATTCTTTTATCCCATTTCGATGTACGACACACGACCCCTTTATCTCCCCACCACCTCGACCTTTAACCGCTCCTAACCACCAAAATTTATTACAATCAATCTCCCTAATGTACAAATTTCCCTGCAAAATTTCAGAAATTTTCCACAGAAAGCACTGGTACCATTTATAGTCAATATAAAAGCCAGGTATAATAAAATCTAAAAACTATAAACAAAATAATTTACATGTATCTTTTAATCTATTCAAAGAAATTTAACAACTGCAGCTGCCAGCTTAGTATGAATAAGGTAAATAAGAAAATTAAAAGAAACATCCTTACCTGAAGAAAGGCAAACTTGAAATAACCTTGTTGAGATTAGAATAAATCATTTACAGTATTTAAGAGCTTAAGAGCTGGCTCTTCTCCCTTGGGTACAGTTTGCCATTTGTTCGAAAACAATAGAGAAGAGAGAAAGAATTTACAGTAAAATGCAAATGGAAAAATTCTATTTCCTTGAAAATTATCAGAAAAAGAACATTAAACTGAAAGTTCATTGTAAATATGTTCGCACAACGAAAAAATTTTGTCATTGATTACAAAAGAAATACATTTATTAAAATAAAAACATGATATAGTAATATATCTTGTATGTGCTTTCTTTTAATATAATAATTAATAATACAATTCATTTAAAATATAAGAAAGTTAAAGTTGATTTTACCCTTTCAAGTTCACAGTTCCCCAAAGGGTCTTTGGACTCGTGATTAGTGGATTATCACACCAATCCACTTGTATCTAATTTTAGTGAGACTGGTGTGATAAATACTTTATATTTATTAAAGCAGTATTATTAAAATTTTCTAATCTTCAAGCTCTACCTTGTACAGTACCTCTTATTATAATGAAAGAAAGAAAAGAAAAAAAAAGGTATCTGTTGTAGATAAAGGGAACTCGTTCTACCCTCTAGACCCTATACAAACTCTCCACGTCCCTGAGGGTGAATGCAGATTTTCACGCTCTAATTCGGACCTCTCCTCTGAATCTTTACATTTTAACGTTGTATATTATATTATTTTTAAGTAGTTAACACCAAACTTTCAATAATTCTTTTATTAAATTCATGACTACATAATTTTTCATTATATTTATATATATATTGTTTTTTTTTCTTTTAGATTATTGAAAAAGTATATGAAAACTTAAAATTCTTCTTGTTCCAAATACGGTTCAATATAAACTCGCACTTCATCAACAACAGTATAATATTTGGATGATGATGATGGTGATGTATCCAACTTCTCTTCCTTTTCAGGTAATTCAGTATCACGTTTCTTTCTTCCTAATAAAATTGGAGCTTGAGGCACTTGCTAAAATAAATATTTATATTTTAGAATATTATATACGTCCTTCTTGATTATTTTTCTAATTATAAACTTTCTTTCAAACGTTCTGGAGGATCAAGAATTACGTTTTGATCTATCTGTAGTTCGCGATCTACAGTTTGATAAGTGATAGAATATAGTGTTCGAGTAAATAATTAATTTAAAAATAAACTTACGCGAATACAATTATTAATAATGCAGAAAGCATGGCCAATAGACATATTAAAGTTCACTGCTGACTATAAAAAAAATTTAATATTAAATATTTTAAAATATCTCTNTATATTAATTTTTGAAGGTTTATTTAATTATGTATGCCTTATATTATGTTATATAGTTATATTATGCAGACTAATGCATTTATAGTCTGCAGTTTGAGGCATAGAGATTATGATAATGCATACAAGTATTCATTTTAATTTTATTTAAATCCTTCTACAAGATATCTAACTTAATTTTAAACAAAAAAAAAGCATTTTTATATAATAAATAGCTAGAGATATTGCTAAAACATTACTAACAGCAACAGCAGTAAAATAAATTAGATATCTATTAATAATCTGATGCACTCTTCTCATCTTAATTATGTATTATGATCAATATTTAATTTTTAAAAATATATTTAAATTTTCTTTCTTTTATAATATTAAATTTTTCAATTCAAAGTTATGTGAATTTTATTTTATTTTGTTTTTTTTTAATTCAAAAAGTTTCAGGCATTCTTCCTTTTGTGTTTGTAATTATACAGCTTCTATGGATTGATAATAGAATGATTATCACTCAGTCTACTAGTAAATAACCTTGTAAAATAATTGATCTAGAAGCTTATCAATAAAACAGGAAGATAAAAATCTAGTTTACATTGTTAAAAAATGCACATTAAATGTACAAAAACCTCAGGTAATCAAATGGTCGCAGAACTTTGCCGGGTTTTTTTACTTTATAATTTAGAATAATTTATCAGAAAAAAATTTTTTTATCAATTTTAAATTAATTTAAACTTATAAAAGAACATTCCCTTGAATTTTTATTGAGCTATATTTATTATTTAATTTCTTATAATTTTTTATACTCACTTGCAAACCACTCTGTTGAGGTGAATTATAACAAAATCTAGTTAACTAAAAAAAAATAATAATAATAAGTAAATTAAATAAACTTAAAAATTAGTTATTATTTTTTTTTATTAAATTAGCGTTAATATTATATTAATTTTATTAAGGAAAAACAAATAAAAATGTCATTAAATCAAAATATCCATTTAACATATTTTATTCTCTTTATATAAATGTTATTAATGTTTTAAACTGTAATCAATAAAGCTTTTGTTTTTCTTTTAATGAGATAAACTTATCATTCCATAAAACAGAAAAACTTTGATTTTTTAAATAGTTTTGATCACATATGATCAGCGTGATCAAAACCCTTTGTGTGATCAAAATCTTTAGTGTGATCAAAACCACCAATGTGATCAAAACCTTCAGTATGATCAAAACCATCAGTGTAATCAAAACCTTCAGTATGATCAAAACCATCAGTGTAATCAAAACCTTTTTGTCCATAGGAATGAGGGCATCAGCCCGTATTCTTATGGACAAAAAGGGCAATTGCCTGGGTCCCCCACCAACAGAGGACCCCAAGCCAATCTTTTATAAGAAGATATTTCTCTCAAAAAGTTCTCTTGAAGAAAAATGTCTGAAGTCAACACTTTACATGGGGTCCCCTAATTCAAATTTCCCTGGGTCTCATGAAGGTATAACTATACATAAAGTATAAATTTGACTCTATAAACTAAATCAGAAATTTTACAATATTAAAGAATAAACATTACAAGAAATACCTTTCTACGATTATCAAATCCAAAACCATTCGTCAACATAATAGCCATAAAAACACCAGCAACTAAACACAGAACGAAGGTTTGACAAGAATGCATCTGTAAAAATAACAAAAACCTTTCTATAACTAACTTATATATATTTTACCACAGCAATATTTTAACTATAATATATATATATGTATATAAAAATAGCATACCTTTATGTTAAATTATAAAGAGGATTTCTATTAGTTTACTCGATATATCCACAAAATTGTTCCATCGAATGCCGTCCGTTGCTTATTTATATTTTCATTTCCATCTTTTCCGGTCAAAATTCGTGACACGGTGTATTGTTACTCCCTTAATGGCGTTTTATATTGCTAAAATATTGAATACCCTTCTACAAATCAGTCAAAAAAAGGGCAGTTGTTAACCTCTATCTTGTCTGATGCACGATGATTTTCTAAACAAACTTCCGATATAGTGACACACATAATACTATTCTATTGATACATATTTCCTTTTTTTCATTTTACATAATGAAACCTTCTTTCATAGAAAAATTAAATCTTTATACTTTCTCCCTTAACTGGAGATTACATGTTAATCTATGTATAATTTCTCCTTTTTACTATTTAATTGGATAATTCTGTAATTACTTTTGTATGTAAAACAATACTTTTCATACTTCTAATTATATTATTTCTCTTATGAAACTATTCTTAAATTCTCTCACTCTCATGATACATCAACACTGATATAATTATTGTATTTCCTTCATTAAATCACTTGTAATTTTAATAAAAACCTATGTTAAATCTGTTCTTCAATTATGTTTTTTCTCATAAAATTGCTTTATTCTTTAATTATAATGACACTATAATAACATATGGATGAAATTATATAATTTCTTGCATATGTGAATATCCACATTTCTATTTATAATACATCTCTAATAAACTAATTCCTCATAGATTTAATTATAAACATTTAAATTATATTTAAAACATACTATTTAAATGTTTTAAATATAAATTAATAGAAAATTTATGTATTTAAAATGTGTAACTTTGAAAATAAGTAGAGCTGCTTTACTATCTCTTAATAACAGTACATGATCATGATCTGTCATGTCTGTCGTTCCGCAATTCCGTTCCATAAATATAATTCTTCCTGGTTTTTATTACTATTTTTTGTACACTTAGTATATATGATAAGTAGTTTATTTCCCGGTTCAACATCTTTCTCCTATTTTTTTCTTCTTTATTTAAATTTAAAACATATCCACACTTATTTTTTAGATTGTTTTTTATCATTAGTTAAAATTATTTGAGGATGTTTATATGTAAAAAGTGATAATAAGGATGTTATGTCTTCTACAAAACAAGAAAATAATATAATATAATGTAATTTTATTGTCTTACCAAGCAAACTCTTGTTTGCTATCCGCCTCTATACATTTAAATTTATCTATTTATTGTATTTACAAAGGTAAGGGTGTTTCAAGTTCCCTGAGCGCCCTTGGTTACGCTACTCCCAATTAGGTGGGACCTTTTATAATTATGTTAAATGGAGGGGTAAAGCAATAAACTGTCTCGTGTATCATGCAAAGTACAGCCTATATAATGCCAAAATCCTGTACCCAGTGACATTATTTTCGTGTATTACGTGTTTAAACGTTAAGTTATGGAGTACAGTTTTTTGAATTATGAAAGTTGTATTATTAGTTTTCCTGTATATTAAATATATTCGAAATAAATATAATAAATTACAATTTATTTGAAGAATTAAAAATACTCAATTAATCTACAACGTTATTTTTATATAATAGGATTTATTTCAAAGGATAATCTTTTATTTTACGTAAACATTTAAACGTAAACGTCGAACGTCGAGTGCTGGTATCTTGTAACCTGTGCTCGACGTTCGACGTTCACGTTTTAGAGATGAAAACTTCGGCCGCAACTTCGCTAATAGTGTGAAGCCTGGACCTCACTTGACAAAGCGGGAAACGGACCGTCGAACCCACAGACTGGTGATATCAAGTATATTCCTCTGTGCTGAACCGAGGAAGCAGAGAAATTGGGTACTGAAGAATTTAATTGTCACGTTCCTAACGTTTTTTTTTTTTTTTGGCCATTTCCCTAAAATCCTGATGCCTCCTGTGATATATAATTCTTATTATTCAAAAAATGAACCCTTATTTAATGTACCCCTCCCTCAGTGGTCGTTGTTCGAGGTTTATCTTATAACACAATGCTATCACTTCAAGTATTGATCAATCAGTTCAATTGATTAGAATATTGACAGACACAATGAAAATAAATTGCTCAATACAAATATATTTGGCATATTTTAATATTTATCAGTTTAAAAAACGTGTACAAAATTATAATTTATCTTGTTTTCACACTAGAAGACTAAAATTATGTGGATTAAACAGGTTAATAATAAATTATAGTAAAACTTTTCACCATTTTAAAGAAAAAAGTGTTAGAATTATCTCACGAACGTCTATTTTACGAAGTAATTTCGAATACGTAAAAGTAATAAAGCAAATTATACTAAATATTCAACAATAAAATCGATAAGAATTTCTTCGTTAAGCAATTTCTACAACAGACTGCCTCGAATATCTATGAACTCGTGTTAATAATTGTAACAAGCCAACACTTTGATGTTTAGAAGAAGAAAATGTACAAAAACATGTTACAAAAGAGAGAGACCGAAACAAACACCTGCTTCAGACTACACATGTTTTATTTGTCTTTTCCATAACAATTCTCAAGTCAACGAACTTTTTCCCTCAATTATCGTAAACAATTCTCAAAAGATTTGCCGCATTATTACACGTGTTACAGGAACACGTGTCTCTGGCAATAAAACAATAAAGTTCTTTCCCAATGACATTTAGAGAAGTTAGTAAACAGTGCTTACAATACGAGTGGATCAGGACAGCACATTTGTTCGTATTGGAGCTTTTATTTTATTTATTTTAATTAAGTAATCGAATGCGGAAATTAGAAACTACGGTACTTAACTCCTTGCGTGCTTGCTTGCTTGCATAGTCATGCTTACAATAACAATGCATGACTTTATTGCTTTATTAAACACGAATATCGTTGTCGATCCATCTCAGTGTGAATCTCTGTGTCCAGTATCACTACCCTATGGTCTTATCTCTGGCGTCATGTGAGAAAGGCAAGTAATCCTGTCTTTTACTGCAAGACTTTACAATGGTATCCGAGGGAGCGTGTAAATGATTGCACTGTGTTTGCTCGTCAGGATCTCGACATTAATTGTGTTGTTAAACAGCACATATGACAGTAATCTTGTTCCATTAACCAGCCCTGTTTTAGTGTTAAGGTTCCTGATGAGCACGACTATACCTTCAATCTTTATTGTGGTGGAAGTCCAACCATCCCTAAAGCCCAATAATAGCTCTAGAAAACCTTTTGTAAACATTAATAATTGAAAAAACTGCATTATCTTCAAAAATTTGTCCTTATATTTAATCTATACGTATAAATGAGAATATTTGTTTGTTTGTTCGCTATACACTCCTAGGCCGTACGACCAATTGCTACGAAACTCGGCAGTTTCGTTTAAACACTTCTAACTTAGATGATGTCGTTCATCCCACCCCAAAGTATCGATTGTATTTCTATAATAATCAAATAATTTCTATCTACATTCGATTCGCGAAATAGACGCGCTATATAATTACTGAGGCAGATATCGTATAGCACTTGCCTACGTGGAATCAAAGTGTTTAAATAAACGGTTTCTCGTAACGTTAGAGTCTGTCTCAGTGTCGATCGCCCACATACCACCCTTCGCGACCCCTCGACCCTCTTGACACTGCTCCCCGTCGATTTACCATCCTCTCTCTCAGGAGAAGGACAACTACTACTTTTGGTCGAATTAACTTCAACCCCTCCATTTACAACAGTTTCCCCCTTCTTATCGGACCTACCGTTATTGTGGCATTCGAATAGGAAAATTACATAATACAAGGTTACCGGACATCACAAAACATGATTTAAATGGTTTTCGGGGGTGCAGAATTTAAGTATTTGGTCCGTTTTTCGTGAAATTTGATTAGTGTTCTCGAACAGGAAACGATGCAGATCGGAATTTCCGAAGTTTCTCTCAACGAAGGTCTATGACTTTCGAAGGATTGTATAGCTGATACATCATTGTTACTGTATAAATATTTTATCATAAATATTTACATTCTGTCTAAACTTGTGAAGACAACAAAGTTTTCCCTAAATTTCTTTGAAAATAACTTTTAAATTCAATATTCATAAGTATTGTATTTCATATTAACTGTTTAAAAATTCAATATTTATCGAGAATTGCGCATTTTTTAGATTAAATTTATAATTATAAAGACAGATATAATAGTGTATCAGCTAAGGGACGATCGATCCTCCTTCGAAGAGTTATCTGATTTCTGCAATATAGTTACCAAGCAGAACGTTTAATGGCAACGTTTACACTATTGTTTGATATTTGTTCTTTACCGTAATCATTTACTCCAATTCCAAGAGGGATTTTACGTCCGAAATGGACAGTAGGCTTACATTTTAGAGAACAAAGAAGATATAGAATAATGAATATCAGTGTGTCAACACCTGTGGTGTGATTGTCTTTAATTAAATATAACCATACTGTTATTGTATACAAAGCATCTAGAAATAGTTATTTATTAGTATGATAATATTATTTTAACGAGAAATAAAAAAAGGTTACTCTTAAAACATTACAGTACAAGGGCAACTCTAAGGGGGGGACCTATCTACTCCTACAGACCTGTTCTCTCCCGTAAATAATCATTAATCATCTTACCGAATATTAGAAGAAATATGATTAATCACATACGCATCATCATAAATAAAACAATTAATTATTTTTTTTTTATTAATGTGTACATATCTATAAAAATTATTCAGGTTATTTTTTTATATATAAATATGTTCTTTATTTTTATAAATAAGTTTTCTGTAATTCTAATGGATAAATAAGATATAAGAAGATGAAGAGTTCTTTGTTGAATATCTGGTCATAAGGAAAATTCCTATTGAATGCTTCTTACATTACATTCTTCTTCATTACTTTACCATCGTAAAAATGGTATTTTATAGCTATTTTATTTCATAAAACGTTTATTATAACTCAACAGAGTATTAAAGATAAATATATTACATAAATTTTAGAAGCGATGAATTTATTAAACAATTTTATGTTATTATCGTATTGTTTTACTTCACTTTTTGATATTAATTTGATACTTTTTCTCCTTTAATTAGTTAATTTTTAAAGTATTAACAAAATTAAAAGTAATATGAGCTTTAAAGTGTAATGTAATATTTTTAAATTTTATTATATGATCCAGGTCTGTTTCTTACCAATATTATATACAGTTAAACCTGTGAACAACGGTCAGCGATGAGAATATTAAAGATGTCCGT